AATTTTGTCAAACAGAGACCGGATTGTCCTGGTTATATTGATTAACTATTATATTCATGTTTTGTTCATGCAACTACAAAACAAGATTTTACTTTTAACTCAACCCGGAAGCGAACTTAAGACTAACAGATTAATCAGTGCTTTATAAAATTACATTATATATTTATATATATTTCACCATATTATCAGTATGTTGCAATTTATTTTTAATTATTTGATTTAGGATAATGAACAAAATTTTTCGGCACTTCTTGGGATGTATAATGTGGACAGCGGGATGTTGCTGGTTACCAGTCTGCAAAATTGCATCCTCTGGAGAAGCCGGTAGAAAGAAATGTCCGCCCATTAAAAGCTCTCTTTTATTAATACCAGCAATTGAACTTGCAGAACTTATTAGAACAGGAAAGGTCAGTGTCTTATGGCATAACTGTTAGTACATAAAAAATTTAAATAAAAAATAATATAAAGCCTTTCACTATTTATGACTGTTTATAACGCTGTACAACATTGAACTTTATAATTAATTTTTAAGTTGGTTATTGGAAAAAGTAGGTTCTGCTATTTCGATGATTCCAATAACAAAAATGAGTATTTGACATAGGCGTATCAAACTATTTTTAGAGAGTTTAATAATGTTCATATTTTTTCACAAATTTTTCTTGCAATATGTGAAATTAAATAATACTAATAAATTACAAAAATAATTATGTTACTGCTATGCAAATAAATGATTATATCCGTTTTCTATAAAGCATTTTATATGAAAAAAAACTTCTAATGTAATTATGTCATATGCTAATTCTACTGTAGAAAAATTTTACTTTTTTAACATATTTTTTTTTTTAACTTTCAATTAAAAAAGGTTTGACCTTTTAACGTCAGATGCTTACAATACTTTATTTCGTGTCATATATAGTAACAATAGTATATTTAGTGTGAATATACAATTGGAAAGAAATTCCACATTTCTCTACTAATTCATTTTTAACGTCAATAATGAGAGGTCAAACTTTTTAACGACAGATTGTAACAATATTTATGTACTGTATATGCAAATTTTTAAATTTCTTGCCTTTTGATACAAAACTATAAATTAAAAACTAAAGAGAACTTTTTAAATTCCGGTACAGTTGAAATTTTCACTAGTAAATCAATAAGGTGATTTTTGAAATTATTTATAAATGTGATATGTGAAATTTACCATAAGATATATATATATATATATATATATATATATATATATAGAAGTTCAAAACGCATATGTCTTTGATCACATTATGCACTTAAAGCACCGAATATATAAAACCTTCAAACTTTGTGATGTGTTGTGATTTTGATTTCGATTAACTTTCCTTCCAGATACGAAGCGAAGATGTGGTTTCAGCCTATATAGAACGTTGCAAAGACGTTCAGCCCATGCTGAATGCTATTGTTGATTCGCGTTACGATAAAGCATTACGCGAAGCTAGAGAAGCAGACGAAATAGTGGCTGGAGGAACAATGTCTGTGCAGAAGATTGCTGAAGAAATGCCACTCTTGGGGGTGCCAATTACTGTCAAAGAGAGCATCAAAGTTCAAGGTATAGGGTTTATATTAATATTGTTTAGTTCTTCTTTACTTTAAATTAATTACAGCTTTCAATTCCCTCTTTTTGCGTAAATCATCAATCATCTGCATTCTTTTCCCAGTCCTTTCAGCCCTTCACTTTTACCTTCGACAACGTTGTGTAGAAGGCACTCTTCTTGTAGAATGGGTGCTCTAATGTCAACATATATCAAGATATATATATATATATATATATATATATATACAACAATACCTCGCTTAACGCGGGGGATACGTTCCATCAAAGTAAAACGTAATGCAAAACAGCGCTAAACATGGCTTTCTTTATATGGAATTATCGGGGTTAGGAGAAGATGGCTAAGTATTGAATTTAAAAAGTATGATTATTCTTAATAAAAATAAAACCGAACATTTATTTCTTAAAGCCCAAATTAATACCACATTATTATTTCTTGCAAAAATATAAACAAAACATAAATAACAAAATTCTAAGTCTTTCATATTCAGTTAGCCTTCCGCGTTTTCATTATTGTATCCTTTTGTGACAAAAGCATCTAATGCTGTTTGCCGTTTTCTTTTCCGTTGTTCTCTAAAAAGTTATTCATAAACGGATAGAGCATCTGTAACACCACGCCTTACTTTTGAGCTCCTGTCAAAATTCGGATCATTTCAATGAATTGATCCATTATTTCAGTTATGGTCCTTTTCACAACACCATCAAAAATTCTTTTGCTTCTCCTGATTAACTGCTGTCAATTTTTTTGTTTTCTTCTTATTTAGTTAGCTCATCATTAGAAAGACTGTGCTGCTTCTTGAATTATTTCT